TCAGATCCGATTTCTAGCAGCAACCTATCAACAAAAATCAAATTACACAACAAAAGATTTCATTAAAAATATAAAATTTATTCAATAATAATGACGACGCACCATACTTGCTCGCAATGTCCACCGAGTGCCGCCAAATGTAGCATTGTATTGCCATCCTCGTTGGTATCGTTAACCAATTTCGCCACGTCATCGGTGCTCACGAGAGTATTGTTGGACATGACGCAACTGTCTGTAACATCTTTCCTGTTTTGCTCCTCTTCGCACTCCTTAATTTTGGCTAACAAGTTATCAATAACCGATGATAACAGATCGTTATCGCCCCGCTTACAGGCAGTCCATAATTTGATCTTAGCATCCGACAACACTTCATTGTTCATCTGAGCTAAAAATAATGTAATATAATACATTAAAATGATGAAATATGTATTAATACATTTTTCACTTTCTCTTAATTTTAACATAAAAATCTTCTTTATATTATTTGATTTAAACTGTAAACATTTTCTCAAGTTGTTGAAAAAAGATTATAATTTTAATATACAGAAAAACTTTGTTTATCTGCACTCCACTTATATGAACAAATTCGTGCTCAGTTCCAAATATATTCATAGTTGAACTCTTATTATCCGAACTACAATGTGTAGTTCGGATAATAAAAGTCCGACGTGTTCAGGCTCAGTTATCTGAATGTCAGTTTCAAAATTATCGAAACTAATAATAAGTAGGTACTATAGTGGAGAGAGCTAGCGAGTCTCTATTATCTGAAACATTCGGAACTATCTTGTCTTCCAGCATATGCTCTGATAAACAGTTTTGTATCTATTAAAAAAAGTAGACTTACTGTCCTTCTTGACTTTCTTTTTCTGTCGATGAGCTTTCTTGTTTTTCATGTACCTCGGCACAGTATCTTGAAACGCTTGTAAATTCTCCCTAAATGACACCTCAAAATTTTCTTCAGTTAAAGGAAAGTCCATTGGAAAATTTGGATCCATTTCGGACTCAGAGGACGACTGAGCTAATTTAACAATTATATCTGTAAAATAGTAAGCCTTTTTTTTTAATCCAACATACAAATATATATAGAAATAATATAAACATAATTTTATGCAAATATTATTTTTAATAATAATTACAATATGTCTGGTGGAGGATCCTAATAAAAAAAGTGGAGAATCCTAATTACTCATACTTCACATTAATGATATGAACCTGGCAGTGGCCGATTCGGACTCTTCCTCGGCTTCGCCCTATCTATGTGCGGACGAGAATTCCGGTGTTGCTTCTCTGGAGTAGATTGCGCAGGTGTCTTAACTTTATCGTTATCCTGCGGACTACTGTTATTACCGGCATTAGAATTATACTCCGTAGCAACTTCTCCTTCAGGTATCTCGCTCATGATCTCCGGTTTCGAGATCTTCTTCCGTACGGGCTGTCGCGGAGAGTTGGGGAAACAGTCAGTGAAATCCGCCGCAGAGCCTAAGATGACATTACAAAAATGAATTATTCGATACAAATCGAATATAAATGAAATTTAGATTGTGAGCAACTATTTTATTATTATTTACCATAAATTTCCATGGTGCTCAAAATATCGTATACCCTCTTGACTTCTCTAAATGTAGCTCTTCGAGTAGGGAATGGCAGTGGTCTTATTCTAAAATTGTTCTTATCTAAGGGTGGATTCTTGCCACCGAAGAGCACCATACGATTGTGTGGACCGACCGCTCGGTACAAAATAGCTGCTGAATTGTTGATGTGCATCGACCATGACTCCAATATCTCTTGCACATGCTAGAAGAATCGTTACGTCAGCTTGCAACTTGTCAGTTTAATTAGCTATTAAATAACTCATTAATCTCTAGCGAGATGTGTAAACAGTATGCACCTGAATAAGCGAAGCTTCGTTATATCTTCGCAAACTGGCACCAGCGCTTTTCGCGTGATTCCCATTTATACGAGAATTTTGAGCGAAGCCTTGCTTTGCTCGCACAGTATAAGAATGGAAGGTTTTATGCACGATAGGCTCACCATCTGCGATACACCAAACCGAGTGGATATAATAATTATGCATATCAGAAAACTATTCTTAAGAATAATGTGTACCCTGAAATACTGCCGCGGCAAAGTGTCCACCACCGACCATGATGACCGTCCATTTGGACTTTCTGCCGCTGTCCAGTGCCTGAGCGATCATCTCGGTGTCTTTTTCGGGAATGTCCTAAAACGTAATTGCATATCTCCCGATCTGGCAAGTACAGAGCACGCCAAGCGACTCTAACAAAGTAATCAATTTTCAAAATGATACTTCGTGTATAAGCATATATCTTCCAAGAGCATACGTAACAGTAGACTTGTTCTTTTTAGCTAAACTTCTTGCAGCATTTATCTTTTCTTTTTTTCTCTTTACATTGGAGAGAAAAGGAGGAAAGATAAACGGTGCAACAAGTTCAGCTGAAAGGAATAGACTAATGAATAATGCATAAGTTTGCACCTCTTTAATTGACGACAATTCTGCTAACGATAACAAACACACCTTCTTATGATGCAGCAAACACCGGTAGATACTAAATATATTGCCATCATCGTTCTCGAAAAACACCTTGGTATGACGACTTGCGACAACCTGCAGCTTCCGCTCCTTGGACATTTCCTCGTTGTACTCCGTGTCCGAAATGTCTGACTCGATTACCTTCCCGCGTCTTTCTGACATCTTTCTGGACCTGCCAAGTCCAGTCTTACTTGATGACTCGTTCTTGATTTGCTCATTAGACGAAGTCCCAGTCTCCGAAGTACCAGCATCGTCATCGTTCTCGGACTCTACCTCGCTACCAGACAGGCTAGACATGTCGCCTATAAAATTCCCACATGCCTAACTGTTTTTGCACCATTTTAAAGCTCGCCGTGTACTTCATCTCAGACTGTACCTTCGCCGGCCAATTTATTGAAATTGTCCTCACTAATCGACTTCAAACCATTCAGATGTTGCTTCAGATTGTAACGATGCCAATCCAGTTTGTAGTGGAGTCTCTGTTGCACCTTGTCCTCAAATTCAGTATTACAGTAGGAACAACACAAAGAATCGGATACCACCAGCTCGCATATTATCTGCTCGCTGTCAGGTACTGCAAAGCAGAGATGAACTCCACATATGAAATCTTGCTAAACTGTTGGCTATTTCCTATTTTTCTCATGTATATTGAAAAATTAAAAACGACCTTGCTAATTTTTGAGAATAATCTCATCAAAAAATAATATTCAATTTCCTTCAATTCATACAATTAAGTTTTATCTCTGTAACAGCCCATGTCATTAATTTCCTGATTAATATCATATCCAATTGATTATATTAAAGACATGAACTCAAAGTTTTCACTGGTAATCTTTATAAGACTCTACATACATTGATATTACATATTTTTAATACAACTGTGAATTCTGGGAAATAGAATATTAATGTGAAAAGCAATCCTCATTATACCAATCTTATTATAGCAACATGTTAAATAATATTACATCAAATATTCTCAAAATACGTGTTCTCATAATTTTAAATTAAACAATCGAGACATAAACATCTTAAGCTACAAGCACGTTATTTCCTTCACTCTGCGTCCAAAGCCTTTGAACCGATAAGTATAATTGTTTCAAGCATCTAAAAACATATGGCATCAGATTATATGACCTTTTTGTTATTATCTCCCAAAAAAGAGAGATAACAAAAAGGTCATTTAATCTGATGTTTTAAATAAGTGCAAATATTTACATAAATTTTTTCTTATTGACAATTGACAATATAAAAACAGGTGCATATAACATATAATACAGTACACAATAAACACATTTTATTTATTTAACTATTATTAAATGATATCTACTCTCAGCGTAATTGTTTCAAGAGAAAAACAGTTACGCTTCTCTAGAATATGAACTTTCTGTGTCCTTCATGCCTTGTCAAATGTCACATATGTGAATTGTGAGCTATCCTTTCGAGCTACACCTGAGTTCTGCTCCCAATTCGGACGTTCGTCTCTCGTCTCGCTCTAAAGGTGGAGCTCTATTTTGATCTCAGCGGAAAATAAATAAACATACGTGTGTTTCTCGGATTCCTGCGTCTCGTTAAACATTCACAAAAACCAGGTTCACAGTTCTGAGCTCACCGTAAGACGACGGTGACTGCATGCACCGTGCAACCTTGATTCCCTTGGTGATCCGACTGAAGTCATCCTGATCGTGGATCTTATAGAGTTGATTTGCCGTTTTCGCGGCCTCAGTCATGACTTCACCAGACGAATGCGTTTCATTCGCCATCGTGAGAAAGGATCGAAGGAGAACGGCGGAAAATTGACGGCAGAAAATCGGTGGTTGGGACAAGAATTCGCTGAAATTCGCGAACAATACAGTATACACAATGCGTATACTGACCGTTTCGTCGCTTTACGACTTGCGCATGCTTGCGCAAGCCCCTCGCGATTGCGTCATCGTCGCGTCATGCGCCAACATGTCGCCATCGGGCGGGACATTTGAACGAGATAAGAAACATACACGAAGTGCGAATGTATATTCAATGTTTATTAAATAGTATTTCGTTCTCGCGAACGCGGAAGAACATGCCACGTGTACAATGATAATATTAATAAGGCGCAGCTTACACACTATAAATATTCCTTCTTTTTTTATTTTAAATCCTGTTTTAATCATTTAAAAAATAAAATATTCTTTTAGCGTATTTCGGTTATTTCTGCGATAACCGGAGAGAACGAGATGTTTTATCGCATGATAAACCTCTGGGAATTATCTTATTCTAGTTCGCATGTTTCTCTAAAATGTAACTTCTGTATAATAAATAATAAATCTATCACTTTTTGCGCACCCTATGTTTGTAAAGTATTTTGTAATTTTTATAAATGTTTATAATTAAAAGTCATTATTTCAAGTTTAATATTTGCAAAATTGGAATTGTAATAGACTTTTCATTTAAGTCTAATATTTGTTGAAATAATTCAAGTATAAATATAGGCGAATGATTTTCAGATGTTTTTCTTCTTATATTCTTAGCTGCCAATGAGAGACTTCAATCATTTTCATAACATTTAGAATGACGCGTTGAATATGAAATATAATATCACTCATAGCCTCACGTTTCTGCTATTTATATACATTCTTATATAAGCAAAAAATATATATATATTCTACGTACATAAATTAACTGTTCCTTACAATACTTACTCTAGCGTACCAATAAATATGCCCTTTCAGATTATCAATCAGTCTTAAACAGTAGCAATAGATAACTATGACTGTGTTTCAAAATCAACTACCAGTACTGAAAAACTATAGTGCATGTAACAAACTACAGATCAGTACTGGCAGAATTTTGGAAGAATTTTTACATATCCTGTAAAATTTGGAGAAGAAGGCATGGAACAATCTGTTTTGTACTTTAACGTTTTTGGTTGTTACATACCGCGCAACCAAAGTACTTGGTTTCAATAACTTTCTGCACTTTGTGCCATTAATAACGCTTATTAATATACATGGAAGCAGAATAAATTCTTTATGTGCTAATAGTGGGTTTCGTTCGAAGTTTTTCACATTTTAGAAAAATGTATTCCTGTGCATTTTCGCGAACCTTTAGTTTTCGCTTTTAATTTTTGCTCAAAGCTACTTACGACATCGTTGCATAATATAGCAATATGTTAATAGAAAAAGAGCTACAAAATACTAAGACTTTGTCATTAGTAGGCCTTTTTCACATATAAAAGTAGTTTACCACTCATAAATAAACGTAGTGCTACCGACGATACAAATTAGTGAATTAAATAAATAATACTATATAAATAGACAAAAAGAGAAAAATAGAACCATCTTTTCAAAATCGACAATGTTTCCCCTGCTTTAAAGACACATGTAGATGAAAAATAATATCCCATTTATCGCACCAACTAAATAATTTATCTGTATCCTTGAATCGCCACGTATCCTGAAATAAACAAGATCAATAGATGTAAATTGCGTTACATTTTTCAAGCAACATAAGTATAAAATTTATCTACTTGTTCTCATAAATTAATGAGCAATAGAAGATATATATATTTTTGTTTTTATATTTAGATTTTCATACATCTTTATTAATTATACATTGTACAATAAAAAATGCGTATTTAAAATTTATAAAAGTTTTACTTTCTAAAGCAAGATATTTGTATGGAACTACTGTAGTTGAATTGGATAAATACTGTAATTAAATAGAGAAACCAAGAGTCTACCTCTGCTTGGAAGGACTGAAAGGAGATGGTGGGTTGACACCGGGTATACTGCTGTCCTTGTAAAGGATAAACCAAGTGAAACCTGTTATCACAAGTCCGCTCATCGTTGCTTTCAATAGCCACCAAAATCTGCCGTAAAATGCTATCAGCATATCAGCGGTTGCTCCTGCGTTCAAGAGTCTTTCGTTATTCGTTGGCAATTGTTTCGCATCAAATTTCGATAAAACGTCGGACATACTCGGTATTGTTTCATACATTTGCGTAAATGCCACCGACGGCAAAGAGTATCGATCGCCGGCTTGCCATGACAAATGCTTTCCTGAGGGCAGAGCATGAGAAACTCATATCAGCCACATAAATCTCTAGAAAGAAAGACAGAGAGAGAAAAAATTATAGAGTTTTTATAAATTACATTCATTCGTAAAGAGAACATTTAATTTATATTCATAATTTTTTATAATAATTAAATTATAAATATATATTTAATTAAATTCATTTCAATTAAAATATAATATTATAAATTCTAAATAAAATAATATTATATACAAAATAGGGCATGTTAATCGCCTCAGGCGAATATCTCAGAAACTATGAGAGATACAAGAAAAAGTTTTATATAAAAGTTGTAGGTTTTCTTGGGGGAAAGAAGGTGAAAATACGGATATTCGATAGGGGGCACTACCAAGGTCAACATGATTTTTTAAACGGAATCCCCCATTTTTTTATTGCATATTCTTGTAGCACACCTCGAGAGCTTTTCAAAACACTATAATAAAATATTTTTTCATGAAGTACTTTTCGAGTTATAAGACTCGAAAGTTACGGTATCGTCGGCATTAACATCACCCAGAATCATGAAAAAATATTTTATCATAGTGTTTTAGAAAGCTCTCGAGGTGTGCTAAAAGAATATGCAATAAAAAAATGGGTTCCGTTTAAAAAATTCATGTTGACCTTGACTCGACCTTGGTAGTGTCCCCTATCTAATATTCATTATTTCCACCTTCTTTCCTCCAAGAAAACCTACAACTTTCATATCAAACTTTTTCTTGTATCTCTCTTAGTTTCTGAGATATTCGCCTGGGGCGATTAAAATGTCTCATCCTGTATTACATTTATATCCTAACGTATGAAATTTTTCAAGTTTATGTAAAAATAATTAATTTAATTAAATGATAAGATAAAAGAAAGATAGAGATAAAGAAGTTCTCTCTTTTCTGTTGTTTCTCTCTCTCTCTCTAGTTGTTTTCTTTTTTTTATGACTGGTCAGGCATGTACTTTTAAAATGACGGCACGGCCTCGACAAATTCGGTCATGGGCGATGCAGATGCCGCATAATAAATGCATGGGCGAGGAAGTTGGAGAGGATCGAAGGACTCGCGTCGTACGGGAAAAGATGATCTCATAATAGAAATGGGCCACGCGCCCCGTTAAAAATATAACTGAAGAATGCAGGCTACATGTGCACGACATGTGCATTTTAACACGAGTTTGGAGACCGCACGTTTAAATAATAAAACTCTTGTAAAGCGCAATATAATCATCGGTTATCTCTTCATTTCTTGTACAACGCACGATACAATGTGTTTTCTGAAAGGAATAAAGTTCACGGAATAAATCGTTAATTTTTGTGCCAAGGAATAATTCGTTTATTGAAATCAGAATAGCGACTAGAGAATCGTCTGGTTTTCAGGTATCCTAAGAGAACAGGATGGGACGCTGATTCATAGTGATACAAAATTTATATGAACAAATGGCTTTCGTGATCCGAGTTAGGTTTTTGCCTTAAAGCAGTTAACATTACATAAATAATTTAAGAAATACACAGATTGATAACAAATAATAATTAGAATATAAAGCAACTTAACAAACGATTGCCTGGACAAATTACTGCCGAGATGTATTAGATTTACTTCTTTCGCCTGCGTGTTTTTATTTGTCAGAAATAAAGCTCACGCAATTCCAGATAACATGAAACATTCCAGCAATATTGCAGTAACGTTGCAACGCTTACTAGAATGTTCTAGGCTATCTGCGATTATTAATTTTTGCGAGAAATAATTTGTTTAATGAAATCACAATGGTGATGAGAATTGTCTGGTTTTCGAACATCCTAATGTCTGTATCAGACTAGAAATGAAGTTGAATTTAACCAATTAGAAAAAAGAAAACTATATAATATCAACTAATATTAAATGAAATGACAAATGTTTAAACACAAATAAGAGAGAAGAATGCCATTTTTAAAATGAGTCTTGGTGCTTAGTAATATTTATATGTGAATATACAAGCACAATTGTTATACTAATATCTAGTTTAATAAATTTTGCTTTGATTAATCAAATTCAATCTCAATTTCTACTCTGATAGAGGCATAAAAGAACGAATGGGATACCAATTTATAGCAGTATAATTTATAAAATTAATGTAAATAAACAAATGACATTTAGATCGTGTTAAGTTCTTGTCTTATAGCATTAATAAGTTAATGTTACATAAATTGGAAAGCATAAATAGTTAATATCACATAAATAATTCTAGAAATACCTACGTGACTTGTTGAAAATAAATAATAATTAGAACACAACAGGCAAATTAACGAACGATCGCCTGGACAAATTATTATAGAAATATTAGATCTGTTTTTTTCAGCTACATTTCTACCGCTTGTTTTTTTAACGAAACAATCATTTGTCCATGCTGTGAAAGCAGAAAAAGAGAAAGGCGAACATATAGAAAGTAACTGAGAAGAACATATCCAATAATATAAATGTACAGAAAATATAATCAGAGACATTACAGAGCTAACTTCCGTTTCGGAGCTTATCGCGTTTTAACAGGAGACAAAATAAAAGTAAAGTACATATCGGCGTGCAACGGCACAGGCTTTCCCTCGAGACGGATTCGCATCGTCGGCAATCCCACTTCCAACGTAACCAAAACAAAAACTTGTGTATACGACGGATTGACCCAAAACGGGTATGTCCTACCGGCGACGATCTACTGTCGTTCGCGTGACAACGATTCTCTCCTTGTGGAAGCGATTCAGATCGCTAGGAACGTCCCTTTCAACAGAATCAAAACAGAAAGTGTACGTTTAAGTGCTTTAAATGATAACGTCTAACCTCAATTAAGATTCGTGGACGCGCGAACGGAAGCTTGGCATCACGTCCGATCTCGGGAGGTAGAAAGGTTCAGGCGACGTGCTGATTTAAAGGAAACTGAGAGACGAACAAGACGTCCAAGCGACTCGTGTTTACCTACCATAATAATTCATGTACAGCTTGCCCACGATGATGGTGAGCGAGAAGGTAAAGAGCATCAGAGTGAACGTCCACTCGTTCAAGCGAATGCTCGACCAGAGTCTCGCTGGCATCGATTTCTGAGTCTCGGCGAGATTGCCATTGCCGTTCGTTAATGGTGTCGAGCCAATCCTCGACTTGAATATCGTCATCGTCGTTCGCGTCGACATCGCTCGTGATGATGGGTCGGAGTCATGCGCATACACACGCACATCCGAACACGCCAACAGTCCGCGACACTCTAGTGACACAGTAATGACAGGCCAGTCGCCGCTAAGGCTAAGCCGCTTCACTCGCTCGCTTACCGCTTCCACGCTTCCACTCTTTGAGCCGCTTCCAAAAATAAAGGTGAACAAGCACGGGTGTGTGCGAACGCGCATGCGCCGTCCGTCTCTTCCGCGTACGCCAGGGACGTACGCTCCGCGTATTCATAGGGTGCTTTCTAGTAGACACCCCAGACAACACACAATATTTGTAAAATATTTACAAAATATTTATTTTAAATATTTTGTAAATACTTTTGTGATCTTAGATTGCACAGATTAATATTTAAAAAAATTAATCTTGATAAATAAATATTCTGTTGTCTGGGGCAAATCGATACAAGAGTCATTCTATTTTTGTTTCTTATTGATTATCGAACAAGGATGATTCTTGTGTCAATTTATCTCTTGCTGAAAAGCTCCCATAGTCAGACTTTGTACTTAAGGCTTAAATTTATCTAAGATGCTCAGTAGCCATCTATAAGCAGAACAATAAGTCATGATAATAAAATGACATTAAAATGAATCAGAAATGATTGAAAAATGATTTTTAATGATCATTTTTTAATCATTTTGACATCATTTTGATATAATGACTTGTTGTTCTGCTTGGGCAATGAAATAATTCGTAGAACATCTGAAGAATAAGGAAGCCTTAAATATAGGGTTTGATTAAGTCTTAGGAGTCGATCATGTAATTTTTTTTTTTTAGAGCGGAAACAAAAAATGTAAATTTTTTTATGTATGTGTATAATAAACCGCGTATAATAAAAATGTTCACTCTTCCGCTCTACAGAGAAAAAGTTACTTGATCAACTTGATCTTGGTCTTTTTAACTGAATTTCTTGTACAGTTAATCTCTTTTCTTTCCTTATCTTCAACGTGAAAAGAAAAAGAGCAGAGAGAGAGAGAGAGAGAGAGAGAGAGAGAGAGAGAGAGAGAGGAACTGTGTAAGAAGTTTAGTTAAAACGAACAAGTCTGTAGTTTCTATAATAATAGGAACTTATTACGCAGGAATTTTAAAGAGATATAGCGAACGAAAAGAGAGATGTAAAGAAAAGAAAAACATATGTATATGATTGCAAGATCAGTAATAATCCAGCTAAAATACAAAATTATAATAAGATCAAAATGATATTAGGTTGAAGTCATTTTTAGAAAAATCATAATGATGATGTCATTTGACTTTTGATGATAAATTCTTGATATAATAATGTAATTTTTAAATGATTTTTAAATTGTGTTCTTCTGGAAAAATTCGCGAAAGTTTATCAGGGTCAGTTTTATTAAACTTTGATTAACTTAATTTATCAACATTATTTCATTAAGTAATACGAATAAAATAAAATAAAATAAAATAAAATAAATTAATAAAATTATATGTATTTAAAAAAAATAAGAATTGTGTATATTAGAGATTGTCTTAAGCGATTCTGTCGATCGAGTTAATTGTCGATTAAGTTAATCGGAGTTTTGATCAAAGTTGCCTAATGTCCAATTCTTAATACAGATTAACCTTAATCTCGGTTTAACTTACTTTTTATCTTGTTCTATTTCTAAGATTCAGAAAAAGATAAAAAGTAAGTTAAACCAAGATTAAAGTCGATCTACATTGATAGAGATGGACATAACTCAAGCGATGCCCACATTATTTTGTTTATACGGAGGACGGAATAATTTTTTGTATTCTATATTCACAGTTTCTGGGTAGCGATCGTGTAGTTTTTTTCTTTAAGACAGAAACATGAAAATTTTGCCATTGAAAATAATGGAGAAAAAATTCATTTTCACGTTTCTGCCTTTAGGAAAACAAATTATATAAGATTTGTTCTTTTCAACTGAACTTCTCGTTTAATTTTCCTCCTTTTTTCTTCATCGTGGAGAGGAAAAAGAAAAGATGAACAACGATGAAAAGTTCAGCTGAAAAGAACCTGGGGCTGTATTCTCGAAAAATATCGCGTACAAAAATGTACGAAAATATTACAGTATATGTTACATAAATTATAGATTTCCTAGTATTTTCGTATACGACAGTTTTCAAAAGTACGATCCTTGATCAATGATCGTTATCTTGAATCGTGAATCGAGTCGTGAATTCTAATCACCCACCACAGAGTGTTTCATGTACGGCACTGCCACGCACCGTCATCGACCGCGGTGGGGACGCGGGAAGCAGCACTGCAAGCTGAAGATGACCGCATTCGCCGCTCGCGCGAGATAACGAAGTTGGTCGACGGTGGGACGTGCGCCGAGCGTACCAACCCGCCAACCGTCAGTGGTGCGCGCGGATCGGTCGCGTGCGGTGGTGGCACGTGGTGATTGACAAAGTGCGATTTGTTACAATCGTGAGCATCGCGTGCGAGCGAACGAGACAGATATGGCAAGCCACGACGTCGGCATTGGCGATTTCGTGTTGCTAGACGAAATCACGGTCGAGCGCGTGGTGGATAACCTGAAGACAAGGTGCGTACACTCCGGACGACTCCGTTCTGAAATTTGCAGACGCGATTCTTGACAGGTGGACAGAGGGGAGCGCCCCGCGCTGTCTCGGTTCATCCCTGCGTCCGCGAGAGGGCGTGGCTTGCGCGTCGGCAGGTGGTCGCCTAGAGATAGTGAAGGGTTTACTCGTTCGTGGAGCCTCTATCCCCCGAAGAGGCTATCACGGGATCCTTTGATCTGCTTTGATCCAAATTCATCGCATGGTACTGTGACTCTTTATGTTGGGTCGGAAATCCGAACAGGGGAATCCCAAGAAGAGGAAGAATTTATGTTCAGCTTCCTTCATTCTTCTTACTTCAAACCGAACGGAAAATCGTTTTGGAGATGTTTGGAGATTTGTAGATGTTGACCGATCATGTATTATGTAATTATTTTATCAACTTTCCATTTCGAGAAACGGAGTTCTCGAATTTATTACCTTATTATTTATATTATTACTTAGTGAAAGTGAAGATACGCACGTGACGCAACATTTAGACGATATCTAGGATGACTTAAGAGAATGAAGTACATAATATCTGTTTATATTTCTTCCGTTTGTATTTCTCTTTCTCTTTTATCTCTCACGTGCTTCGAATGTTATAAATTCCTAATGTATCTTGAATTTGACCTGCTGAAGCCGATGACAACATTCGGGGAGACGTTATTTCCACCGGACAGCCTTGGCCAGTTAATTCTGGCTGGTGATGGTCTGTGTTTTTGCGAGGGTCGGACGCGCAAGGTTGAAAGCGCAACGATGAAATTTACAGCGACTCCAAAATAATTTCTGCATCTTCATATATTTTAATCTTTAGAGAGTAAAAGTGAGGAAATTGTTATATATAAAAATAATTTCTACAGCATCATATAATTTTAATCCTTAAAGAACAAAAAATGAGAAAATTGTTAAAATATACATAGCGATTCTTAGGGTGTTTTTCATTTGATGAGGTAAGTCGACACAAGTGTCGTTCTTTGTTACTCACTGAATGTCAAGAAAAATAAATTTGTGTTTTTATCGACTTGTGTCATTAAAAGGAAAGCACCTTTTAGATGGTGAGTCTAGAAACAGAAGATATGAACATAAGTTTGAGTTTTTCATTTTCCAAATTAAAAATAAATTGGAGTAAACACTGGAAAAGAAAACGGAGCATCTTTGATATAACTTGATGCTTAATTCATGTTGTGATTTTAATATAAAAATCAGGCACTTTTCGATCATATTTTCTATGAAATATGCATCACGTTATTTTATTTCGACATTTTTAATTGTATGTAAATTTATCTTTTCTTTTAAGATAAACAAATAGAGGAAAAAAATTAAAAAACGCTTTTTTTCATTGTTGGATTATTATTGAATTGTTTATTAGGAGGATATATTTCGCTTTTTAAAAGAAAACAATTATAATTAAGAAACACGCATAAGTACATATTGAAAAGCTATAAATCTTGAAAGTAATTTACTCCAGTTTGATAAGTTCAAAGTAATCTCGTATTTCATACTTTCGTTTTCATTTAATGATTGCAGTCACAACTTTTCCCAGACCAGTTGCACCGACAATAATTATTACTTAACTGGATGTCACTTTTCCGCATTACAGGCGAGACTGTAATTTAAAAATAGCCGACTAATATAACGAGTTATTAGATTATGGCTACAGTCGGATTCTAGATGACAGCAATAATTAATGTGCGACCGGTTGTTAATCAGCGTTAATTGTAGTTAATTCGTCTTTTTTGTACCTTGGTAGACAAAACTATAATACAGAATTAAAAATAGCGATTACCAAATTAATTTAGTTAACCGAAACAGTCGTTGTAATTTCATTGTAACGCGTCGTAGACAGTCGTAAACACTCATCTTTTTTTTTTTAACTGAACTTCCTCCAAACAAAGATTCGGTGTCTCGTTGGAGAGATATTTAACCCTGTTGATCTGTTCGAGTCTATTTGTGTGATCTAAAATTTAATTAATTTTCTTACTAATATTTTATTTTAAATTTTTTCTTTGATATTTGATGACTTCTGTTTATAATAAAATATCTTTTTTTTTTCATTTTTTTAAAACTTTTTAATCATAGTATGATCGTTTGAACAGACCACAGGATTAATATCGAGGAGTATATTTCGCTAAATTGAATCTCTATAATCGATAAACAATTATTAATTAATTTTCAATGTAATTTATTGTCTATAAACGAGATCTTTATTTTGCCAAATTGTTTCTAAAGATAAATGACGATGTAGTTGAGCATCTCTTCGTAAACGGGATCTTTATCTGTCTTGCTGCCAAATTTTCTGAATGATTTCCAAAATAACGCTGATAAGTTTAACGCGTGCGAGTCAAGAAAATCGTTGCTTCGCATCGCAAAAAAAGAACACGTCAGGGCAACTACTCCAATTCACTTGACTGTATCGTGTGTATCGTGAGGAGCATGGAATTGAATATCACACTGTGAGCAACTGACCAAAGCAACGATATTATATATACCTGTTGCACGGTTGCGCGGGTGCATCATTTTGAGGATAAAAGGCGCGCGTACTCACGCAACACGTTGCGTGCATCCGCCGCAAAGTCGCACAAAGACCAAAGTACAAATAACACAATTTAAGATAAAGCAGTCGTTAATTCATATATTCTTTCCACAATT